CCTCCAGAATCTTTCAAAATAATTTGCTTGACTTGTATTTGGTTGAAATTCGTCGATACAAGCTTTCATTCTTCGCAAAACCCGCAACAAAATCCTTCCAGGCGGGACCGTCATAAAAACTCGTTGCGTGAAGCTCAAAACTCCCCGGGGACTGGAACTAGGCAAATGATTGGCTAAATCTATTAACTTCCCGGTGGGCCAAATTTTGCGGGAATCGGAAGTAACGCGATTTTTTTTCGTCAAGGGTCCTGCGGGAACTTTTTTTCCAGGACCCAAAGATAAATTTTAAATCACCGGGTAATTTCAAAAAAAAAAATAAAAAAAATAAACAAAGTAAAAATGCTACAGACGTAGATGGAAGCCGTGAAAATATCTCTAAGTAAAGGTTATTGGCATATTTAAAATTATTTTAAAAACGTGACTTCTGAAATTCACCTCCTTCAAATAAGCTCCTCGAACACAACGGCTCGTCTAATGCTTATTCGTGCGTTTCGCGAAGCCGACTCGCTTGATTCAAGCTATACTGTAATTCTTATTTAATCTTTAATCGTTTTTGTATTCATGGAACAAAAAGAAGACCTTATTTCATGTCGCCTTAATCAATATCCTTCAGGAAAGGAGGATAAATTACTTAAACTTTTTTTAGGAAGGCAATACTACTGGTGGACCCAGTACAGTTATATATATTTTGGTGGAAATGAAGGATTTATAAATTAATGGTTGGGCATTCGCCTTCATTTTTCTAGGTGTTCCTTATCAGTTATAGTTTGTTGTGCTGGTGGTAACTGACTATCAAAAGATTCAATCTGACCACTGCAATTAATAAATTAACGACCCAAGGAGATTATCACAGTTAAACAACTTAAAATGTGCATCCACGTAATTACTCAACAATTACTAAGAAACCACGATAACAGATTTTAAAATCATGTTATTTTTTTACCATTTGATCTTTGCCTCCTAAGGTTATCTAGAATCCATTGGATGGAATATATAAAGAATAAAGCCCATCAGAATAGAGGATAAATTATAAATATTTTTAATGATTCATAATTAACCTTAAAAGGAAATTTGGCTGAGCTCAGTGTTAACTCACATCGTAAATGATTAGTTAAAACAATGGACCCGTTCGTTCAGAAAGATTTTACAGATTCAGTTAATGAACCGGACACCTTTTTTCTTTAGTGCCCAGAAAGTAAAATCAGATCTTCAATCAAATAAATCTTTGATACACGTTCTGAGTGTACATCCCACGAAGCCCTGTGTGTTGCACGCTTCCCGGTGGTCGAAATATAACCATACACTATAAATTATTGATTCGCAAGAAAATTAGTTGGTTAAAACAAGCTGCACACACATTTATTTTCTAAGTAGGATTTCCTGGGGTATAAGAGGCGCTGGAAAATCATTTTTTCCACTCAAGGGGTTCCGGAGAGAGAATTTACCGCAGGTAATCTCTTCAATTCTGTCAAAAGAGAACTCCAGCACAGAAAACCATCCGTGATGGCAGTCACAAGAACCTTGCTTGTACTCTTGTTCGCTTTTGTTTTAATCGTTCACTCTCTAAAGCGAGACTCAGCGTCAGATTCCACTTCTCTCCTTAATGAGCTGTTGAAGTCTTCCTTCGCAGGTAAGCTCCCCTCTTTTGTTTAGAAGTTACATGTACCAAATTTTATTAAAATACAGGATTACACTCACGATATAATCAAGCTAAAAGGTCAGTTTTTGCGACAACCTTGTCCAATCGTAAAAAGGACGTACAGCGAACCTAAGGGTTTTTAATGCGGTAATATCATGTCATCACTTTTGAAGTAATGTAAGCACAGTTTTATTACATGCGCAATAATTGAGATATATTTTAGAGGCACTTCCAAGACAGAAAAAAACTCCGATTTCTACGAAGGTGGGAAGTAAATTATTGGTTCGAAATATATCCTAGACTACGGGCAGAATCTCGTTTCTCTTAGTCCATTCTGTAGAAAAAGAGCCTAGACTGCTTGCACTCCAGAAATACGCGAGAGGCTCGTAAAACCTGGGCTAAATTTTGGTTTAATGTCAACACGAGAATTGCTTTTTTCTTCTTCTTACAAACCAGCTTCATGATGAATTTTTTAAATTCTACAATTTTATATAGAAAATTACCAATTTCAAACAATCTGGTAAAGTCAATTAAATAGTCGGAGGTTAGAACAACGTACCGTGGTTTCGAGAATCGGGATTCTACTGTAAATTTCATAAAAAAATAAATTTCTGATGGTTTGCTAATGTTTTATTTCAGACGCTGATTTGCAACAAGAAGATTTTTACGGAATTCGTAAGTGATAAATTACTTTTTATGAAACGTATGGTAAGGAGACTGGTCTCGCCCGTGATAAATGCAACTTTGACACTTTTTAAGCAAAATTAGACTTAATCACATGTTTTCGAGATAAACTGAGTAGACTGTGCTTTTATATAACTATATAACCTTTCTTTGATTATATAAACACTATGCCATGGTATAAATTAGTTTTATTCTTTGCTGTAGGCGAAACCCATTTCTGTACCATTTACATAAAACCTTTCAAGCAAATTTATCACAACATGACTCTACCTCCCCTTTTCGCAGCATGTAATTCCAAATTTTTAAGTCTCTGGACGAAATGGTCTGAACATTTCAATGCACAATACCTCCTCAACAGTTATTTGACATTGTGCCATCAGTTTAGTGTGTCCCTGACTTTTTTAAACTTTGTAGACAAAATCCTATGATGCGACCATTGAACTGATAAACTGAACTCGATCTTTAGCAATTGTGTCACACCAATAGAGAGAAGAAGTCGTTACGTCACATTACCATGTAGCAAAACTTTTGGATGACAACAAACCGAAAATTCACTTAAAAGAGAGTTCGCAGTCTGATTAAAACTTCATCGATCTTATTCAATTCCATTTAATCCATCAAATGTTGGCGACATTTCTGGGGTTGAATTCGAAGGGATCTTACCTAAATTTAGAAAAAGAAAGAGAAAATTCTCGTCTCGTGTTCACCTACTCCATAAAGCAGGCGCGTGAAATTAGGAAGTTTCATGTCGCAGTCGTGCAACGACGGCAAAGAAATGTGCAAAAAAGAGCGATACACGTGCAATCTTGTTGTTTTGCAAATTAACACCGATTGGTTTTCACTTTCGTGTTACCCTCGTCTTTGTTGTTGCTTACGCTGCTTATTGTTGTGGTCCAGACATTTTGCTACCATAGTAACGTGACGTCACACTCCTCCTCTTTATAGATATTGGATACTTTATTTTGCTCCTTTAGCCTTTCTTTCTTTCTTTCTTTTCTCCTTCGATTTCTTCCTTACCTTCTTCCTTGACCATTTATTTCTTTCTTATTCATTCTGTCCTTCCTTCCTTTCATTCTTTCTCTCCAGCTGGTTGCAAGAATGAATTTTCCTTTAAGTTTTGTAGAAGAATGCGCAAATATTGTGGTCACGGAGGCAAAAATGGTCGCTATATGAGAAGCAAGTGCAGATTTAGCTGTGGCTGTGTATAAAAACAGGTAAGTTTATAGAAGAGATCCGTTTGTTTAACTCCAAATAATTAAGCCCATTCGACACGAATCAGGACACAGTATGGCTGGTATCAGGAGCCGATTACTCCTGCTGGTATTTTTTACTGAAATAGCAAAATGTAATTTGTTTTAGCATAGTTAACGTATTTATTCTAATAAGCGCGGCTCAACCTCGAATTAGCGCCCATCCTATAACAAGGAAGAAACAATTAATAAGCACCCAGCCTCGAATAAGCACCCACCCCCACCACACCTCCCTCCCATTCCCTCTCAAACTCAAATAGGCGCCCACCGCCTTCTCCCCTCCCCCCCCCTAAAATGGACCTGCGGGAAATTTTATTCAAGGAACAAAAAATAAATTTAAAATCACCGGGTAATTTAAAAAAAAAAAATAAAAAAAATAAACAAAGTAAAAATGATACAGACGTAGATGGAAGCCGTGAAAATATCTCTAAGTAAAGGTTATTGGCATATTTAAAATTATTTTAAAAACGTGACTTCTGAAATTCACCTCCTTCAAATAAGCTCCTCGAACACAACGGCTCGTCTAATGCTTATTCGTGCGTTTCGCGAAGCCGACTCGCTTGATTCAAGCTATACTGTAATTCTTATTTAATCTTTAATCGTTTTTGTATTCATGGAACAAAAAGAAGACCTTATTTCATGTCGCCTTAATCAATATCCTTCAGGAAAGGAGGATAAATTACTTAAACTTTTTTTAGGAAGGCAATACTACTGGTGGACCCAGTACAGTTATATATATTTTGGTGGAAATGAAGGATTTATAAATTAATGGTTGGGCATTCGCCTTCATTTTTCTAGGTGTTCCTTATCAGTTATAGTTTGTTGTGCTGGTGGTAACTGACTATCAAAAGATTCAATCTGACCACTGCAATTAATAAATTAACGACCCAAGGAGATTATCACAGTTAAACAACTTAAAATGTGCATCCACGTAATTACTCAACAATTACTAAGAAACCACGATAACAGATTTTAAAATCATGTTATTTTTTTACCATTTGATCTTTGCCTCCTAAGGTTATCTAGAATCCATTGGATGGAATATATAAAGAATAAAGCCCATCAGAATAGAGGATAAATTATAAATATTTTTAATGATTCATAATTAACCTTAAAAGGAAATTTGGCTGAGCTCAGTGTTAACTCACATCGTAAATGATTAGTTAAAACAATGGACCCGTTCGTTCAGAAAGATTTTACAGATTCAGTTAATGAACCGGACACCTTTTTTCTTTAGTGCCCAGAAAGTAAAATCAGATCTTCAATCAAATAAATCTTTGATACACGTTCTGAGTGTACATCCCACGAAGCCCTGTGTGTTGCACGCTTCCCGGTGGTCGAATTATAACCATACACTATAAATTATTGATTCGCAAGAAAATTAGTTGGTTAAAACAAGCTGCACACACATTTATTTTCTAAGTAGGATTTCCTGGGGTATAAGAGGCGCTGGAAAATCATTTTTTCCACTCAAGGGGTTCCGGAGAGAGAATTTACCGCAGGTAATCTCTTCAATTCTGTCAAAAGAGAACTCCAGCACAGAAAACCATCCGTGATGGCAGTCACAAGAACCTTGCTTGTACTCTTGTTCGCTTTTGTTTTAATCGTTCACTCTCTAAAGCGAGACTCAGCGTCAGATTCCACTTCTCTCCTTAATGAGCTGTTGAAGTCTTCCTTCGCAGGTAAGCTCCCCTCTTTTGTTTAGAAGTTACATGTACCAAATTTTATTAAAATACAGGATTACACTCACGATATAATCAAGCTAAAAGGTCAGTTTTTGCGACAACCTTGTCCAATCGTAAAAAGGACGTACAGCGAACCTAAGGGTTTTTAATGCGGTAATATCATGTCATCACTTTTGAAGTAATGTAAGCACAGTTTTATTACATGCGCAATAATTGAGATATATTTTAGAGGCACTTCCAAGACAGAAAAAAACTCCGATTTCTACGAAGGTGGGAAGTAAATTATTGGTTCGAAATATATCCTAGACTACGGGCAGAATCTCGTTTCTCTTAGTCCATTCTGTAGAAAAAGAGCCTAGACTGCTTGCACTCCAGAAATACGCGAGAGGCTCGTAAAACCTGGGCTAAATTTTGGTTTAATGTCAACACGAGAATTGCTTTTTTCTTCTTCTTACAAACCAGCTTCATGATGAATTTTTTAAATTCTACAATTTTATATAGAAAATTACCAATTTCAAACAATCTGGTAAAGTCAATTAAATAGTCGGAGGTTAGAACAACGTACCGTGGTTTCGAGAATCGGGATTCTACTGTAAATTTCATAAAAAAATAAATTTCTGATGGTTTGCTAATGTTTTATTTCAGACGCTGATTTGCAACAAGAAGATTTTTACGGAATTCGTAAGTGATAAATTACTTTTTATGAAACGTATGGTAAGGAGACTGGTCTCGCCCGTGATAAATGCAACTTTGACACTTTTTAAGCAAAATTAGACTTAATCACATGTTTTCGAGATAAACTGAGTAGACTGTGCTTTTATATAACTATATAACCTTTCTTTGATTATATAAACACTATGCCATGGTATAAATTAGTTTTATTCTTTGCTGTAGGCGAAACCCATTTCTGTACCATTTACATAAAACCTTTCAAGCAAATTTATCACAACATGACTCTACCTCCCCTTTTCGCAGCATGTAATTCCAAATTTTTAAGTCTCTGGACGAAATGGTCTGAACATTTCAATGCACAATACCTCCTCAACAGTTATTTGACATTGTGCCATCAGTTTAGTGTGTCCCTGACTTTTTTAAACTTTGTAGACAAAATCCTATGATGCGACCATTGAACTGATAAACTGAACTCGATCTTTAGCAATTGTGTCACACCAATAGAGAGAAGAAGTCGTTACGTCACATTACCATGTAGCAAAACTTTTGGATGACAACAAACCGAAAATTCACTTAAAAGAGAGTTCGCAGTCTGATTAAAACTTCATCGATCTTATTCAATTCCATTTAATCCATCAAATGTTGGCGACATTTCTGGGGTTGAATTCGAAGGGATCTTACCTAAATTTAGAAAAAGAAAGAGAAAATTCTCGTCTCGTGTTCACCTACTCCATAAAGCAGGCGCGTGAAATTAGGAAGTTTCATGTCGCAGTCGTGCAACGACGGCAAAGAAATGTGCAAAAAAGAGCGATACACGTGCAATCTTGTTGTTTTGCAAATTAACACCGATTGGTTTTCACTTTCGTGTTACCCTCGTCTTTGTTGTTGCTTACGCTGCTTATTGTTGTGGTCCAGACATTTTGCTACCATAGTAACGTGACGTCACACTCCTCCTCTTTATAGATATTGGATACTTTATTTTGCTCCTTTAGCCTTTCTTTCTTTCTTTCTTTTCTCCTTCGATTTCTTCCTTACCTTCTTCCTTGACCATTTATTTCTTTCTTATTCATTCTGTCCTTCCTTCCTTTCATTCTTTCTCTCCAGCTGGTTGCAAGAATGAATTTTCCTTTAAGTTTTGTAGAAGAATGCGCAAATATTGTGGTCACGGAGGCAAAAATGGTCGCTATATGAGAAGCAAGTGCAGATTTAGCTGTGGCTGTGTATAAAAACAGGTAAGTTTATAGAAGAGATCCGTTTGTTTAACTCCAAATAATTAAGCCCATTCGACACGAATCAGGACACAGTATGGCTGGTATCAGGAGCCGATTACTCCTGCTGGTATTTTTTACTGAAATAGCAAAATGTAATTTGTTTTAGCATAGTTAACGTATTTATTCTAATAAGCGCGGCTCAACCTCGAATTAGCGCCCATCCTATAACAAGGAAGAAACAATTAATAAGCACCCAGCCTCGAATAAGCACCCACCCCCACCACACCTCCCTCCCATTCCCTCTCAAACTCAAATAGGCGCCCACCGCCTTCTCCCCTCCCCCCCCCTAAAAAAAAAAACAACAGAATTGAACAAGTACTTATAAGAAACTTCCCCGAAGACGGAGTTTTCTTCAGAGTGTTTTACAGAAACTTGCTTTGTCACGTCTTCGCGTTTTGTTATTACAATTTAATGTTTTTTTGCAAAATATACATACTAGGCTGCTGAAAATGGTGAACATTTAATAAGCACCCAACCTCGAATAAACGCCGACAACAAAATTTAGTTTGGAAGTTTTTACAGGTAAAGCTTTATCTATCCACCATTAGTAGTTGTTATTTATTTCAGTTTCAAAATCATTTGTTGATGTTGTTGTTTTTTGTTTTATAGACTGCTGTTTACAGAAGCTTAGAGGAGCTCAGTTGACTTTTACGGACAAGAAAAACAGAAATTGTGCACTTCAAATTGCTGTAACAAATTTCTTGCATACACTGGTGTATGAATAAACAAAATGAACGAAGAAAAATTCTCACGTCTTAAATTCATCTTGAAGGGAGCGTAACCAGCGACGACGGCGACGTCAACGAGAACGGCAAAAAAGCAATAGATAAGCTTTGATTGGCAAAACAACCACTCTTCACGCGCACTGCACGTGCAACACGCTTTGTTTGTACATTCCCTTGCCGTCGCTGAACGACTACGCCGTGAACCTAATTTCACGTTTTGTGGATGACGTGAACAGAAGACAACGACTTTCTTTCCCTTTTCCTGAATTTCGATACGGTCTTTAAAAACTGAACTCCTGAAAAAATGGCAAAATTTGACGAAATGAACGAGATGGAATAAGCGCGATAAAGTTTGAAGCAGCGCGAATGCACTTTTTAAGTGACGTTTTCGTAGTCGTTGCCGTCGATCGTCATTGCTTAGGGCCTGTTTACATGGAGGTGGGAGACCCCAGATAGATGAAGTAACATGCGGCGGGTCACCGCAGCTAACATGTAAATGTGATCAAATTAAAATGAGAGATTTTATGGACAGACGGGTTACCTCGCCAAAGCGGGTTACCTCACTTACCTGGGGTTCCCCACCTCTATGTAAACAGGCCCTTAAGCTCCCTATTGTAAGACTCTCAAATCTTTCTGAAACTCTTCCCCGCGATTACCGCAATTTACGACATTAACCCCGAACCCTTAGTCTTCCTTGGAACAAGGTTTTTATGTTCTCTTGAAAAAGATCATAGTTGAAATATCAGGTGAGCTTTTGCTCAAAACTATATATCTATACAATAGAAAATATAGTGGATTTTTAAGAAAATGTTATTTATTTTCTATAGTTATAAAAACGTTTGAGATATTGGCATATATTTAAAACCGCATTTTTATAAAAACTGTAAATAAATTCGCACCCCTTAACGGCAGACGGTTCTAACTTCAGCAAATAAGCCTCAGAGTTTAATTTTTTATCTCAGGTTTTAGTTGTTTCAACTTCATTAGCACACATTACCATACCCAAAGGCAAAGAAAAAAACAAAAATTACCTGAGATAAAAATAACTACAGCAGATACTATTAGTAAGTTTGTAGTCAATCGTGACCGTAGAACTCGCTGCACAAAATGCTGGTCAAATTTAACCTTAAAATGCCACGCTAACACATTTGTGGAAGTTGACACACAAATAAAGGAAGAGTGCTGACGGATTATCGGCTCCCATCTGAACGACACGATTCCTCGGCGTTTTGAAACTTTGTTGTATGAACTTTGTTTGAATGGTTACTGTTCGGAAAAATTATGGCCGTCGAAAGATTCGTTATCAGTGGTAAGTGATAAAAAAGAGAACAGGGGTACCAGAAACTTTAAGGAAGTGCCGTATTATATCTAAAGACTTTCAGGGAATTTTTCCGTAAGTTGCCATCATAAAAGGGAAGTAGCTAACTGGGTATTTCTCCCGAAGAGCAACGAAGATGTTATCTGATAAACAAAAGAACAGGGACATCAGAAAGCTTAAAGAAGTGCCGTATGATCTGAAGACTTTCGGGGAATTATTTCGTAAGTTGCAATCAGAAAAGAGAGGTAGCTAACTGAGTATTACGTGTACTCCCGTAGAGCAATGATAAAAAATTCCTGTTTGCTGCGAGAAAGAATTTATAAGCCCTTAATTGTCAGAGCTTTTCTTCAAAGTATCGTTAGCTTTATCTGTGGAAATAACTTAAATCTATGCCCTTTACGACAAGGAATTCCCCTGCCGAATTACAAGCTGAGGTACTGCGAGGCCCATAAGTTTATCAGTACCTCTCATTAACTGAACTGCCGAGTGTTACCCCCTCTAAATAAAGTCTCCCCTTCACTCCTCAGGGGCACCCAACGACTGTTTTCTGTAAAATATCTGTTCGAAGAAGCAAATATTGCCTAGAATTTTCTATTACTTGAATACGGCTTAAAATGTCTAGATGAGCGTTAGCTTATCTGAAAAAATTCCTTACGATTTTCTGAAGTTTAATTTTTCATATTTGGCTTCTTATGTTAGGGTAATTTTCGTTAAAAAAGGAAACCTAAAACTTTCGGATTCAAAAAATTAATGCCGTAGAGAGAGGAATAAGAAAAATTCTGACTTTCGTATAACGTTCAATTCCATTTAAAATTTTTGGGAAAATAACACTGAAGTCACTGAAGCCCTTGTAATTTCGAAAGGCCTCAAGTTACCCTAGGATGACCGAACAGATACAAATTTTATAGCACTGCTTGGAATGCATTTCTAGAGATCTAAAAGTACTCTTAGTAGCCTAAAAAGACTTTTCAATGCATTCAGGAGGAAACCGTCTTTGGGTGCCCCTGCACAGACTGACGTATCTATATTAAACTCAGCCTTTCAATTTCTACCATGTGTATTTTTTCGGTCCGTATAATAAAATGAAATAATGATAATCGGATAGCCAGCTGAAGATATGAAATTTATGTTCTCGTGATAAGAACAATTAAATATCTTTCACACTTTCTCTGCATGCGTCACTTGTGAGATACTGTTAATTGCTCCTAGATCACAAAATACATATCTTCTCTCCACCGTGTAAAATCTTCTGTACATTTTTCATTCACAGGGTGAGCAGTAATGAAAAAGTCACTATTGTGGAGCAAAAGGAATAGTTTGGGATACCAGCATGGCCTCGTGATCTGTGATGACGTCATGTGAAAACGACCAAATGTGGGGAAATGATAATGAGATTCAGTTTTATCACCTGGGTTGTTTGCTTAGCCATTTCGCCGCAGGCAATTTTGATTAAGAGGAAAATGTTTTCCAGGAGCCTGAATGAATATTTCATCAAAAAAAAAAAGAAAAAAAGAAAGGAACAAAATGAACTCAGGCGTATTAAATTCATATCTTAAATAAACTTTGTTTATCTAGAATATTGCCATCAAGTAACGGAAATCACAAGGAAATAAATCTTTTTCTTAGGGTGGAGAACAATAATGACCTGGGGCCCGTTTCTCGAAAGTCCCGGTAACTTTTCGGACCCGAAATCAAATTTTCCAATCGAAATATAAAGAATAAGAGCGCTGGTCCTGGCTAGCAGACTACATTTTGTTTCACGAACTGATAGTTTTATCATGCTAGATGCAAAAGTATTGATACCTCGATCTTTAATGTAAACGGAGACAGCTTACCGGGCCCGTTAATTATCGGGACTTTCGAGAAACGGGCCCCTGGTATTTCTAATGGAAAGGTACATTAAGTTGCATAATTCTTTTGCTCCTCGGCCATCTTGAATTAAATTTTCGGGAGCTCAGGCGTTATCTTTTGGCTAGCTATAGGCCTGGAGAAAAACTCCGGGGACAATTTTTGAGCCGTTAAAAACACTAACAACACGCGTTGTTTCAAGTGTTAATTCTCCTTTTCGTGTGTTTCTAAAATTTCAGCTGCAAGATGTTCCCGCGATGGCGTAATGTATTCGAGTCTAATTTTGAAGAAAGTGTCGCAAAACAAACATTGAACAGGTATCTTCGGCCAGCACAATGAGAATGTTGATTGTGAATGTGTAAGCAAGTATTTATTAGAAATTCATCGTGAGGAGACTAGGTAAAAAGATTGTTGGACAAGGCTGAACAGTGACATGAGTTAAAATCGTTTCAAATTTTTGTATTTTTTCCGGCCCAATTTCAAGGAAAATATAACCCATACTCGTCTGATTGAGGAACAAGGACCTAAATACTTAAAAAATTCATTTCAAAGTAAACTAACTTCCCCATGAAATTAATTTTAATTATTAATGAATTTAAACAGGAAAGTGGAGCTGAGTCCTTAACAATAATAACTAAATAATATACACCAGCTACTAGCGCGCGAAGGGTATCATTAAAGACTGAAAAACATAGCGGTTTGCATGGACGCTTTGTGATCTGGGATTCTTCAGATGCTGAAAAAGTGCAAAACCAGCTTCTTCAGTGATAATGCAGTCTATTACAGTATGTATTTTCCTCGCGTTGAATTCGTTTGCAGTCGGTGGAATCACTTCTGGTAAGATAATCTGACGAATAAGAGAGACTATAAAGTACGTAAAGTAATACAGTTACAAAGTTCGATAATAATTCATTTACACTGATTGCAGTGCTTAATCCAATTGCGCTGACCCTGATCGATCTGTAACATATAACGTAGTCATATTTTAATATCAAATAAAAAAAAGGACTTTGAAGGTAAATGAGTTTTGAAGGGTCCCAATTTTTTTTCCTTAAGGGTAGAACCGAGCTATGAGTCCCAGAGGAGTTTTCCTCTCGAGCGACGGGATGTTTCGGTGTTGCCCTATAAGGTGGTAATATCATCGGCCGCCGTGCCAGAGCCGCGAGAAAAGGCTTTGACGCGAGACCGGAACGCTTTTCGGTCTGGTCAGTTTAAACTCCGAAAACGCACATGAAACGTCTCCGTCATCCATACCAGGGTAGTTCGCGAGGTTTGACGTTGCTTTTTTTTTAAAAATGGAGGTGTATGTGAATATGTAGTCCTGAAAACCATCAAGCTAAGACGAGGGTATAAACTAAGGAAATCAGGCAAAAGAAAACGTTTAGTTAATTTTCGTCTAACCTGGAGTGCTTTTAAATTACTTATTCGAAAACTACCCTTACGTGTTGGGTTGAGGAATTTAAGTCAATTTAAGTCGACAAGTATAAAATAATAATCCTCTCTTGATAATAAATACTGTAAAAAAGCGTTAGTGACGTAAATCGACCAATTTTAAATTCAGTTCCCTTTACTGAAACAAATGTATAACAGCAAGAAATCCGGCGCTTTTCCTGCAGTTTTGCTACTTTTTGCATACCCATACTTCAACTGTCGTAAGGGAGTTTTCCCGAGGTTTTAGTTTCTTTTAGCTAAACGTGCTTCATATTATTTAGATATTGCGGCTGGATTATGAATATTTTCCCCAGTTACCACCGTAATAAGGTCCCTAAAGGCTAATTAAGTAAATATAAAGAACACGGATCGATATTGACTGAGACATCACATCAGGAGTTAGAGGTACTCGATGTTTAGTTTATTTTAATCATGTCTGGTAACAAAGTAACATAATTATGTACATTTGAAAGAGGGCCTTAGGATTAGCAAATGTTATATTGTCATCGCAACCGGGGGTTTAACTAAGCGCAAGCCGAAAATGTGCTTAAAAAGGCAAAACTGAACGAACATGTACTATTATTTTTTTCGCACACTAGGTAAAATCTCAACTGACTGAGTAAAAGAAAATGGAAAACACTGAAAAATCTTCGAATTTTGTACATTTGCGGTGTTAAGTGACAAAAAAAAAGTGAAACGCGAGTGTAGCGACATACATATGGTTCTTTCTTTATTTTATGGCAGAATACAACCGCATCATCAGTTTTAAAGAACCGATATACGATAAAGTTCTTCCTGGTTACGTGATAAGAACTGAAAAGGTCAAAAACGAGGGAAGCTGCCGAGTGAAGTGTTATTTGGATCCAAACTGTGTATCCATCAACGTGGGACCTGAAGTCGAGGGAACAAGAACGTGCGAGTTAAAAAACTTCACTGATGAAAGCTCTGCGCAATCTGACTTGAAAGAAAGAAAAGATCACCTTCACTTTGCTATTGAGGTACAATACATCTTTAAGTAGTTAACCCTTAAAACCCTAAGATCAAAATTTGAATTCTCATTTTTGGCCCCTGTTCATTTCCTACAGAAGTAGTGGGGAGAAGTTTATAAAATATCAAGCAAGTCCGTCTTGTGTTATCATGTCCGTAATTCTCATGACCACTCTGTTTTACAAAGCATTGATATTACAAGGAGAAATTTAATTCTGACCACTCTTAGGGGTTAAAACGTTAGCTAAAGGAGCTTTAAGCAAGGACGACGACGACGGCAGTGAAAGGCGTCGGTTAAAAAAAAAAAAAATGAATTTGCGTTTTTTCAAACTTAATCGCGTCTATTTGGACCCGCTCAATAAGACAAATGCAAGCGACTTTTCCTGGAGTTAAACCCTAAAGGATTTTATTCCCGTTCAAAAAGAGGAACGAAAATTCGTCGTCGAATATCCACGTCATCCATGAAACGTCAAATATTAGGAGGTTTCACGTCGTAGTCGTGTAGTGGACGTCAAAGAAATGTACTAAAAAGAGTGATGCACGTGATGACCGTTCCATTTATGTATAATTTTTGAGGCTTATCTAATGAATCCCCAAACATTTTCTGAAGTTTAATTTTTGGCATTTTGCCCCCCAGATTAAGCTATTTTCGCAGAAAAAGGAGACCTAAAATTTCGAATTCGAAAATGCGATGGAAAGAGGAATCAGAAAAATTCTCTCTTCTTCTCTCATCTAAAATTTTTGGGAAGACAATACTGAAGCCCTGGTAATTTGGAAAAGAATCAAGTTGTCCTAGGATGACCGAACAGATATAAATTTTATAGCGCCGATTAGAATGTATTTCAAGAGGTCTAAAATTATGGAAAGCCTAAAAAGTGTGTTCAATGCATTGAGGAGAAAACCGTCGCTGGGTGCCCCTGGATTGCACTTGTAGTCAGTTATGCGGAAAACTTGTTGGCTTAACAGTTATTTAGAGTTCACTTTTTGTTTGTTTACACCGATTGATTGAAATGCTTGGGAGACTTATTACTTGACACAAAGCTGTGATTTTGTCATTCACGAGTAATTTCACATAGTACGTAACGAATAAGGACAGTCACGCATTGTAAACAAAATGAAGCACTAGACAGTCATGACAATGACACACCCCCTTGAAGGATGAGCCCAGCGGCTGTCTGATCATAGTATGGGGAGAAAGCAACTCGATATATAGCAATATACAGATAAACAATAAGACGCTGGAAAGCGTTTACGCGGGATGTGTTGGTGTAAGTAAGAATTACCGGTATGTTGAATGGCAATGGAAATTTGAGTAGTATATCAACAACATATGTGTGCGGGAGAGACAGAGATGTTCTGATAAGAACTAATACACTAAACGATGAGTTACACATAAGGGTTCCTTTGCTACTCAAAACAAAACTTACATCAATATTACCACCATATATGTTAACAGTATGGGGTAGTTCAATAAAATTTGCACTCCCTTTACTAATGTCCTCAAAAAATACACTTCCACATTCAACAATAGCATGTAATGTGTCGTACTTCCAATAACTTCAGGGCTGCAATGCAAGGCTGTGCTTTAGGGAAAATTTCCGGAAGCCCTTCGTGCTCCCAAGCATTTTAGGTTGGGTTGCCCAGGCCTAAAAGATCCAGATGGTCGGCCAAATAAAATTTTTAGGCAGCCTTTCGGTCTCCAAATGTTTTAGCTGGGCTGTCCGGGCCTACAAGTTGGTCGCCCAAATTTAAAAATCAGTGAGCTGTTAGTCAATTATTAAAAATTAAAGAAACTATTTTGTAAACAAGTCAAGCAGAATCTTGTGAATATATATATTTTTTTCATGAAAAATCACATCCTTTGACAACCTGACTTGCACGTGATTGGAAGTTGCAGCCGATAAAAATCACACAATTTTTCGGGACGGCACGGGATACGGGAAAGTTAAAAAAAACACGGCAATTTTTGACTCCCAAGAAAAATACGAAAGGAATGCGCAACCGAATTTATAACGCTGGCTGACTACGTCATCCCGCGTAATAAGTATTGGATAGACTGAAAATGCCATCAAATGAAATCTGTTAGCCAGTTAGATGATTTAAGTGGGAGCTGTAGCTATTTAAAAATTAAATAATAATAAAAATGTACTACATCGGCCTTCATGTTCGTCTTTTTTTCATACCCAGAATTTTTGTCACCGTAGCCGTTGCCCTGAAGGGAACTTTTTGTGTCAAGTAGGGTTTACAACCAAAGGATACAGATGTGTCTGTCGCGAGGGTTTTAAAGGAGATCAATGTGATGAAGGTAATGGAACACTCGTCTGAATTTTCAGTGTACTAAATCCACCCCTCCTTCCCCTCTTCTTTTTTTTCTCAAATTTTGATGAGAACCAGTAAGCCAATATTCACAGAGACTGCCAAAAACTGCACCTTGAAATGAGCTAAGTTTGAAAGTCACACGTCTAAAGCGAGCTAAGTGGTGAGTTTTAGCAGACGTTTGTACCAATGGTATGGGACACAAACTTGCCCCCCCGCCCACTTGGCCCCCGCTTGCCCCCCCTCATTTATTTCGCATCGTTACTTTTTAACACTGATGTCAATCTCAAACTTTCTACCGGTGTTCAACTGTACGGCGGAGTTACTCTATGCTCGTTTAACCATATTCATACGGGGAGTGAGGGGGTGCCAAACTTAGCGACTTTTCCTAAACATTATTTGCAAACATTTTAAATTCGTCGTGACGTGAATATCATCATTGACGTTACCATGGCAACCGAGATCGGGGAGGGTGTATCGGCGGAGGTGAAAAACAGCCTCAAAGATCTGCATCGTGTCAATCGAAAGTCGAATTCAATAATCGTTTTATTATTAATTTCACATTTGCAAGTTCTTTCAAGACAGCCTTTTCTCTAGAATGTTTCGTTCCTGGCTTCTCAAGGGCTGTTATTGATTGTTCATTGATAGGTTATAATTTTTCAGTTTACAGAAACTGTGCGGAGCTTTATGAAGCTGGTTTTCAAGTAAGCGGCGTTTACAGCATCGACCCTGACAACACCGGTGCCTTCAAAGTGTACTGTGACCAAACAACAGACGGTGGGGGGTGGACAGTTTTCCAGAAGAGACTGGACGGCTCGGTTGATTTCTTCTGCGGCTGGGATGACTACAAACGAGGCTTTGGAAATCTGAATGGTGAGTTTTGGCTTGGCCTGGACAAGATACACCACTTAACAAAAAATCATAGCAGGCTTCGAGTGGATCTCGCAGACTTTGACGAGGAAACTGCCTACGCTATATACGACTCGTTTGGTGTCGCCAACGAGCAACAAAAATATAGGCTGCAACTTGGACAATACACTGGTAAGGATAAGGATGCGACAAACGAGGGGTTAATTTAACTCCTTAAAGTAGGGCTATTTTTTGGGGAGTTATTTTAACTCCAAAAAGGAGTTTAAAGAACTCTTTTTCAGGAGTAAAAATGACCCCAGATATTAAGGAGATAAAATACCCCCAAAAAGGAGTTATCGTGTACCTAAAATTTTTACTTCACTTTCAGCGTTAAATTAACTCCAAAAAGAGTAAAACAACCCATGTAAGGAGTAAAAATAACCCCATTTTCGGAGTTATTTTAACTCCAGACTGGGAGTGAAAAGAACTCTTTTTCAGGAAGTAAAAATGACCCCAAATTTGGAGTTAAATTAGGAGTTAGAGTAAACCCAAAAATGGGGTTATCCTGTACCTAAAATGTTTACTCCACTCCATATATTTTTGGAGTTATAATAACTCCCTATAAATTACGGTGTGAAAAACTACCCAGTGGGCAAGCTACGTCTGTAGTATTTTAAGAACCGAGTCGCCTTAAGTAAGGTCCAAGACAGTCTTGGATTCCGGATTCCACGTACCGGATTCCAGATTCCAATTTATGGATTCCGGATTCCAGATATTGGAATCCAGATTCCAAGCTGTGGATTCCGGATTCCAGGTGTTGGATTCCAGATTCCAATCTGTGGAATCCGGATTCCAGGTAGTGGATTACGGATTCCAATCTGTGGATCCCGGATTCCGGGTACTGGATCCCGCAGCATTTCTCGTCAGTAGAAACGCCGTGGAACTTAGATCCCGGACTCCTTCTCGAAGGAAATTGGATTCTGGATTACAATCTTTACAGGGAGTTCGGATTCCTTGAGATGAACTCCGGATCCAAAGCCATGAGTTCCGGATTCCACAAGCTAAATACCCTGCATTCTGGAATCCGGATTACTTACAAGGGTCAAAACGGGGCGAAATGGAGCAAAGTCACGTTTCTCTCTTTCTCACTTGGTATCTGGTAAAAAAAAAAGTGAAACTGAGGGTATTTTCCTAGTATATGACAGTATTAACGGTTTATATCTCGGTTGTAGGGACTGCGGGCGACTCGCTCCACATACATCGCAATATGAAATTCTCCACAAAAGACCAAAAGAACAACAATCATAGAAATGACTGTGCCAATAAATTCGAGGGAGCTTGGTGGTACGGCAACAGTGATTGTCACCATTCCAACCTGAATGGCCGCTACCTGAAAGGCCCGCACCTAACTCTGGGTAACGGTGTTAACTGGCGCGACTGGAAAGATTTTCGTTACTCTCTCAAACGAGCTGAGATGAAAACCAAACCGCTGTGAAGATCTGCATAAAAAGTACTCTCCTATTTTTGAAATGTGGGGTTTGCATGATGACATCTTTGACAGTTCTTATACTCAGACCTGATTCATTTCGTTTTTAAATCTAGTAATTTCATTGAGGTTTAAATAACAAAACGCCCTAATTTGCACAAGAAAGCGAACCTCTGAAAGATTTTGGTAGGAGTAGTAAAATGACGCCATCGTGCAAATCGCCTGAGTAAATTCATGTCAATTACGCGTTTCACGGGCTTTTTCGCTAAGGAACTTAAAGATAGATAAGTCAGGAATTGCCTTTACATAATCATGACAGAATAACAGCTTTCTGATAAACAGTTATGTCTCCCAAACTTTACCAACAACCAGGTTTTCAAAAACCACGATAAAATATTCAATTGTCATCATTTTTAATGAGCTTCCTGAAAATTCTGAAGGGGAGGGGAGGGGGGGGGGAGGGTTTCATAGAGGCTATTACTTTTACTGAAAATAGCCGTTCACGGGGTACAAAACGGCCATGCTGAAGGGCAAAAGCGGCACTGGACCAAGACAGACAAAAGACGTACATAATTTTAAAGGGAAATTTAATTTGTTTCCCTGGACCCAGTGCGAATTTTGCTATCACGTATGCCNGACCTGATTCATTTCGTTTTTAAATCTAGTAATTTCATTGAGGTTTAAATAACAAAACGCCCTAATTTGCACAAGAAAGCGAACCTCTGAAAGATTTTGGTAGGAGTAGTAAAATGACGCCATCGTGCAAATCGCCTGAGTAAATTCATGTCAATTACGCGTTTCACGGGCTTTTTCGCTAAGGAACTTAAAGATAGATAAGTCAGGAATTGCCTTTACATAATCATGACAGAATAACAGCTTTCTGATAAACAGTTATGTCTCCCAAACTTTACCAACAACCAGGTTTTCAAAAACCACGATAAAATATTCAATTGTCATCATTTTTAATGAGCTTCCTGAAAATTCTGAAGGGGAGGGGAGGGGGGGGGGAGAGTTTCATAGATGCTATTACTTTTACTGAGAATAGCCGTTCACGTGGTACAAAACGGCCATGCTGGAGAGCAAAAGTCGCACTGGGACAAGACAGACAAAAGACGTACATAATTTTAAATGGTAATTTCATTTGTTTGCCTTGTCCCAGTGCGAATTTTGCTCTCCAGTATGGCCGTTTCGTACCACGTAAACGGCTAGCTGCAAAGGGCCTATTCTGTACAATATATAACAATTATTCACCGAAGTGGAGGTGGCTAGTCTTGGATATTCACCGAACTGGGAAGCAGTGAGGTAAATATCCACGACTAACCACCGACACTGAGGTGAATTATTGTTTTAGTATATACTAAAACAGTGAGATAATTGAGCACAAAAATGATGATTTTTAACTCAAATACTGTTGCCAACGATTACAATTTTGGCGCGTTATGACCGGCGACCGCGGCTGTCGCTTTTTCTTGCCGACAATTAAGACTTTTGAAGGCATTTGTTTAGCTCTTGCGGGGAAATTTCTTCAAAAGGAGTTGCGAATTCTTTTTGTATTTAAAATCATTCTATAAAAAAAGATTATTAAATTTAGTTTTAAGCCCCTGGTTTTAAGCTTATTTATGAACATGTCAACTAAATAAAGTAACACAAGACTTAAACTTAATTTACATTTGTAAACAAAAAACTTTTTCACCGGTTTTATCGATAAATTCGTGTCAAAAAGACAAAGCTTTACCTGTTAAAACTTCCAATCCGAACTTCGTTACCTTCTTCGTGTATTTCGGAAACAGCTTGCTTGATTACTTGTGAAATTTCTTTGTTTGTTTACGGCAGCAAACCGGGAAGGCATTTTGCTCGCAACTTACGCGAGCTTGGCGTCGCTCACTCGGAGGAACTGGAGGTGAATCAGTGAATAGTTAACAATTATTCTTTGAAATCGAGGTGAATAGTGGCCAATATTTACCGAGCCGCGAAAGCGGCGAGGTAAAAATTCCCAAAGCCACTATTCACCGAGATTGAAAAGAATAATTGTTTTAGTATATACAAACGAAGTGATCTCAACAAAATCAGAGAGGAAACCATTAAAAAGTACGATTTGATTGACAGATCAAATCACGCGTAAGTTTAAAAATAGATCTTTGCAGAATTTTCAAACATGGCAATTCACAAGTTTATTATTTCGCAAACAACAGCGTAATGGCTTAAATGGAACCGCTAAAAGTTTGAACTCTTTCCTTGCCTGAGAAGAAAAGTAGAGCTTTGTTGTTTTCTGTTGACTCGCCAAGTTTATAGCCAAAAGGGTTTGTTGTGTCGTCCTTCGCATGAAGTGCTGACAAAAGTGGTGGCTTCGTTGCTCGAGGTAAGACGTCGTCTTTCTGTATCATTCTTTTTCCTGTTCACTTGCAACGTAGAATTCTGCAAACACTTCGTTTCCTTTTAAAATTTGTTTGTCATAAATAAACTTCGATTTTTGAGCCAAAATTTTCTCGTGAGAAAACGCTAAGTTCACAAAACGGCTTCTTCTACGCAAATACACGGGAGTTGTAAACAATCCCGGTGAGCACAAAACTCAGCTACAGTAAATTGAAAAACGCCGTATTGAATCCTACCAAGTCTTTTCTTGCCTTATAAAAAAAGTCAGCCCGAGGATTTTGTCGACTTTTAAACGATCGTTCCCTAAAAAAATGGGAAAAACACCGAGCTCACACATTATCCACTCGCTCGGAGGTGAATATTGTTGAATAGTCCGAGATAGCGAACCAATCAGATTGCTTAAATCACCAAGATCACTGAGTGTGTATATACTAATGCAGGATATTCACTGATTGAGTAGCCAATCAGAGCGCGCGAAAAACACTATCCATTGTTTTAGTATATACTAAATAGATTTAGCCAGGGCTAAAAGCGAGGCCCTTATTAATTAAAATTTATAATTTAAATCAAACAATAAAATTGCAATTGTATTCCAAAAATCAGTTAACTTTAGAGCACATTCATGTGACTTTTGAGGGAAAGGCTAAGTGATTTTAGAGAAAAATAATTTGCAAACAGTCCAAGCTAAGAGTAAACTTAATCTTACACCGAGTTGATAGCCTTATATGTACACCCAAAAAATAGCAATCATCTTCGATCACATTCAAGAGCCATAATGGCTGTTGATCACAGTAGATACCGGCTAATGATATTTACTGTTTCTAATGGAGGCTATTTGCCAAACGCAATCGATCGTGGAACTTCGTTTCAGTTCAGTGAAAATCAAACAGCTACGCCGGTTTGGAGGGTTTTATCTTTTACGTGTCTACTCAACGTCGAAAAGAAGCCCTAAACGAATGCAGCTGTCTCTAATTGTTGGAATTGCCTTCGGCTTCTGATTGATATTTACGGATGATCCAGATTTCCGCATTTCCGGTTTTCGCTATTTCCCGGTTTCGACATTTCCGGTTTACATGTCAACCCGCCTTTGACCGGTTGAGCCGAGCCGGTTGAATAGAAGGTTTATTCGAGGTTGTAGCTCTGAAATCTCAATTTTCTTATTCAAAATGAGACCTGCCTAGTTGATTTTCTGATTCTCGGGCAAACTTTCATCTCTGAACGGTTGTTTTACCGAGCTATTTAGCTCGAAACGTGACACCTGTTTTGAGCTTCGGATTGTTAGCATGGGATTCAAAAATGGCCGCATACCAGCAGTTTCTAAAGCACATTTACTGGAATTTTATGGAGTCCGGCATCTCAGGAATTGGAATA